GGCCGTGCGCGCCGCGCACCTGGACCCGCTGGAGCAGGAGCAGATCGACCGCGACCTCGCGCTCGCGCTCGCGCTCAGCGAGGAGGAGCAGCAGCGCGCGCACGACGAGGCCAACGCCGCGCCGCCGCCGCCGCCGCCGGACCACTACCGGCCGCCGGACCACCGCGAGGACGCCGACTCGTCCTTCTTCGGCCGCTGGGGCTCGACCGGCGACGCCGCGCCCCGCGACGACGCCTGGGCCGACGAGCGCCGCGAGCGCCTCTCGTCCCTCGCCGACGAGACGGCCCTCCCGACCGAGGAGCTCAAGGCCTTCTCCCTCCGCGGCGCCGCGCGCGCGCCGCCCGCGCCCTACGACGACGAGCTCGACGAGCTCGAGATCTGAATACGGAGCCGTAACCACATTTTCAAAGTTCGGAAGGGCCGTCAATACAAGTCGCTACCTCAGGCGTCGGTCGGCGCGGGCGCCGGCTGGAAGATCAGTGCGCGCGGCGCAGGCCTCGGCGGTCGTCTCGGCGGCGTTTGAAGGAGGGATTCAGACGCCGATTCTCGAGGAAGGCCTGGGCGAGGGCGCGCCACTTGGCCATGGTGGTCGCCGCGCGGTCCGGGCGGACGTTTCCCGTGATCTGGATGTTCATCGGGTTGTACGCACCATCGGGCTCCCGGATGACGATCTTGGCGAGCGCCTCGACGGTATCGATGCCGTGGGCCTCGAGCCAGCCGATCTTCGTGGCGCCGAGGTATCGTAGCTCGCCGAGGCACGTGCCGCCGCCGTCGCGGGCGCCGGGGGCCGCCGCGGGCGCGCGGCGCTCGCCGCGAGCCCGAGTGCGACGGGGCGCGGGAGCCCAAGCCGAAGCCGCAGCCCGAGCCGCAGCCCGAGCCGGAGCCCGCATGACGCGGGGCGCGACGGCATCGAGCGCGGGGCCGACGCCGTCCCGGTCGCCGATGGCGGAGCCGCGCCTGACGCAGGGCGCGCCCCTCTTTGCGCGGCAGGCGGCGCAGGCGCCGCAGCGCTTGGGCCGGCCGCTCTTCTCCTCGGCGACGTCGGGCGCCGGCGCGGCGGGCGACGGCGCGGCGGCGAGCGACTCGAAGGAGGAGGTGCGTAATACGCCGTCGACGTAGAAGACGATCGTCCCCGGGGTCGCGCCCGCGGGCAGGAGCGCGCTGACAACGCCGCCGCCGGGCGTGCGTATCGACAGTGCTTGTCCCGGCGCGAGGCCCTCGGGCACGGACACACACAGAGCAGACGCAGGGATGAGGCGGTCGGCGCGGCACGCGATGGTATCACCCGCGCGCGCGCTGCGGGGCACGACGCCCCAGTACTTGCGGTCCTCGAAGAAGACCCAGAATCTGTCCCCAGGCCCGCACCCTGCAGGGACCACTCCAGGGACCAGCCGCGTCACCTCCGCGTCGTCGCCGCCGGCCGACGCGGCCTCCTCGAGCTGCATGGCCGCGGCCTCGCCGGGCGAGTCGCCGTCGCCGTTCGCGAGTCGCGCGTCGCGCTCGCGGGCGCCGGAGGCCGCGGCGTCCGAGCCCCGCGCTAGTGCGCTTATCCAGTCCCGCGCCGTGTCCGGGCCCGCCCCTTCGTCATCCGCGGTCCCCCGCTTCTTCTTCTCCGGCGGCGCGGCGGCCGCGCCGTCGGACGTGCGCGCCTCGGATTCAAAGGCCTCGATGCAAAACTCGTCGTCGTCCGTGTCGGCCTGCGGGTCGTTCGTCGCGGCGAGGGGTCGCTTGAAGTTAAATGTGACCAAAATCTGTCTCCCTTGGTTGTTTTCGTCGCTCATCGTCCGCAGTCCGTGAGGCGACGCACTTTGTGTTGCACACACTGAAGTTGCGCGGACGGCCAGTGTCGAACCACACATAGGGCTGGCGTCCCCCATAGGAATTAAGTAACTAACTATCTTGGCCGGCCGGAGTACGTCTAGGGAGCTATCCTGGGCCGCCAGTACGCCTAGGGAAGGGCGAGGTCGTCGAACCTCGGCAAAATTGGTCGCCTATATCAAATCATGTCAACATAAGCTCGTTATATGTCGAAAAAAGGCGATTTGGAGGCGTTTGGGGGGCAAAAAAATCGGGGAAACGTGGTAATTGAACTTCAACATTGCACTTCAAGTGCAAACTTTTTGATTCAACGGATCTCGGGTTATCTCACGAAAATTTTTGGTTTCGACACTGCGGACGGCCCCCTGCGCCGTCGCCTCCGTCCTCCACAAGTTCCTCCACTACCCTAGCCCTTCCCTTTGATCCACCCTCCCTTCGATTCCTGCCCTCGCCCCGTCGTTCCCGGCATAAGTCCCCGCGCGGACAGCGTCTGCGGGAGCAGCTGGCTGCAGCGACGACGAGCTCGAGGTCTGAGACCGCGGGGGCTTTACTCATTCTTTTCGGGGATGTGATCTAGGTGGGGGCTCCCCGCCGGTCGTCGCGCGACGCCCCGCCGGACGTCCGGCCTCAGGCGTCGGTCTTCGCCTTCTTGGCCGCGGGCTCGGCGGCGAGGGGCTTGAAGGCCTCGCGCTCCTCCTTGTCCGCGTAATACGCCTTCACGGGCGCGAGGTTCGCGATCCAGTCGTGGTGCTTGGCGATGTTCGCGTACTGGTCGAAGACGCCCGGCGGCACGCCGTCGAGGAAGGTCGGCGTGCGGAACATGTTGACCATGCAGAAGGCGTAGAGGTTGCCGATCGTGAGCGTCGCCATGGGATCCTTCGCGAGCGTGGCGTCGAGCGCCGCGGCCCACTTGGCCTGCTTGCCGCCCTCGGCCCAGAGCGCCGCGCGCGCGGCCTCCTTCTCCGCCTGGTCGGCGATGCCGAACGTCGACGCGACGGGCGACCGCATGTCGTCCGCGAGGTCGATGAGCGCGTCGGCCTCGTAGGCGGCGATGGGGTCCGTCGGGTAGAGCGGCGTGCCCTCGAACTCGCACACCTTTCCGAGGTAGCGGACTGCGCGCGCGGTGGGGCGGCGTCGAAAACCCGACGGCGGCGCGCGCGCGCGCGCGCGGCGATCAACAAACAAAACCATGCGGGCGCGCACAACAGTTCGGACGCCGGCCGCCACGGATCGCGCGGCTCTGGCAGAGGGCCTTGCCGTCCGGAAGGACGAGGATGGGCACCTGGCCAGCCTCGCCTAACGGAGAGAGGGACTTCTTGCGCTCGTGAAAAGTGTCATCGTTGCGCGTCGTCGTGTTCTTGAAATCGACGCCGCCGACGGCGAGCGCCAAGCGGATGGGCTCCCCCAAGGCGGTCACGGGGAAGTACAAGAGCTCGTGGATGGCCATCTTGAGCGGCGTCGACGAGGCGCGCGGCGGCCGTGTTCGTCGCCGCGGTAGCGAGCTCGACGTCGGCGTCGGCGCTCGGAGGCCGGCACGAGCTGTGTTACTGCCAGCAGTGGCGAAAGTTTGGCGATTCGCATGCAAGGCCTCATAGACTAAATTCACCCTTTACCCCCCGGCGTATCCACCTAACCTATCACACCCCGTCTCTGCAACTTCCGCACGACCGTCTCGAGCCCGGCCTCGACGGCCGCCGCGTCGAGGGGCTCCCTGGGCAGGCCGCGGAAGAGGCCCCGCGCCGACAGCTCGCGCCCGAAGCTGAGCAGGTGGCTGCAGCGCTCGCCGCCGAGACTGCTGACGCGGAAGTTGTTCACTTTTTCGTGGCTCGCGCTCGGCACCCAGGGGTCGCCGCACTTCTCGGGCCCGAGGAGCAGGTCCGCGGTCGCCATGCAGTGGAGCGTGACGAGCGGGTTGCCCGCGCCGTGGAAGCTCACGTCGAAGTCGTGCTCGAGGCCGGCCGTGCGGCCGTCGACGAGGCGCGACGCGCCGTCGCGCCGCTTGCGGCCGACGCGTATCCCGACGTCCAACCCGTCGAGGGTCGCGGCGACGGTCTCCGGCGGCGAGTCGCTCAGGACGAGCGCGCGGACGACGCGGCCGGGGAGCCGCGCTCGCAGCGCCGCGACGATGCGGAGCGCGTTCCGCAGGTGCTCGCCCTCGACGCGGTCGGCGCTGTTTCCCTTTTGCACAGCGCCGGAGTGGGTGGCGCCGATCAAATCGCCGAGGCGCGCGTGGACGATGACCCGCACGTCGCCCGCGTCCGCGCCGCACCCTCCGGCGAACGCCTCTCGGCCGAGCGCCGCGTAGGTCTCGGCGACCGCGCGCCGCTCCCACGCGGGGTCGTCCTCCGGCGGGAGCGCGTCGAAGCCGAACCACTCGTCCAGGGGCGGCGCGAGGAAGCACTCGAAGTGGCCGCGGAGGAAATCGTCGCCCGACGGGTACGCGTCGTAAAAGTAGCGGCGCAGCGCCTTCCGCGCTTTGCCGTAATCCTTGTCGAACTTCTTCTTGAGATGGTTGAAAGGCTTCAGCCAGGCGTCGGTCTCGTGGCAGTAGAGCGCGGGCGCGAAGCCGTCGCCGAGGCCCGCGACGTCGCGGAGGTAGATCGCGGAGACGCTCGCGGACTCGCCGAAGAAATGCGGCCGCGTCCGCGCGCCGCGGCGTTTCGCGATGGTGTCCGCGATGACGAGGCCGAAGTGGCCGAGGCCGTCCATGGCCTTGTTCGGGTCCTCGCCGTGGCCGTCCCACGCGGGACCGCCGCGGCTCCGGCAGCCGGCGGGGAAGTATCTCCAGTTTCCGCGCAGCAGGTCGATGTCCCGGTTGGTGCGCGCCCTTTCGTCGACCAGGGCGACGTCGTCCGCCCACGCCGGCATGTCGCAGACGTGCCGGGCGACGAGCGCGAAGTCGGGCACGACGGCCGGCGCGCTCAGCGCGAGTTTCCACCACGAGGTGTTGGTCATCGCTCGTCCAGACGCCCTCGTCAAAGTCGACGACGTCGAGCTGATTGAGGAGTTTTTGCGAGGTGCGTCGCCGAGGCCCGAGGTCTCGGCGGCGTCGCCGCACGTCTGCTTCTCCTCGTCCCATGCGCAGAGGTGCGACTGCGCTTCGCACTTCTTTCGCCGCGTGATCTCGGCGCACGGCCTCGCAGCGGCGAGCCCGAGGCCGATGACGACGACGATGACGACGGCGAAGCGCATGGCGGCGCGTTCGAGTCGCCAGCGAGGAGCTCGCGCTAATCACGACTCGCCCAAAAACCTCCACAATGTGTCCACACTCGACAAGCCGTCTTGGCCTAACGATGGCGGCGCGCCTCCTAGGCGCCTGGTGCCTCGTCGCCGCGCAGGGTGACGACGAGGCCTGGGCTCGGGCCGCGACACTGGCCACGGCACCACGCAGCGACGAACTCGTGCTGGAGCGGTCGTGCCAGGGCCTCGGCCACGGGCCGGTGGGCCTGGGGAACGTCGTGCGGCGCGTGCCGCGGTACCTCCGCGCGGCCGCGGCGCGAAATTCCAGCCTCGCGTTCGTCGCCGTCGACGCCTTCGCCGAGCTCTGCGAGGCCTTCGACTGCCGCGGCCGGCTCCGGCGCCGCGGCGCCGGGCCGAGCCACGACTGCGCGGCCGACCGTTTCGCGGCTTACGCGACGGCCGGCGAGCGCGGCCGCTTCGACGCGGCGCACGACGCGGAGCTGCGCGCGGTGCTCGGCGGGCCGAACGCGGCGGTCATGGGCCGCCTGCGACGCCTCTGGCGCGGCCCGCCGGCCACCTTCGAGGCGCTCGTCGCGGCGGGGCCCCGCGCCGAAACCGAATCTTCAACCCGACGTCGTTCGAAGCGATTCTTGCGGAGAGCTCGACGAGAGAAAAGCGCTCGTCCAAGAATGAGCCAATCCCAACACAGGCGGGCCCGCGGCCGCCGCGGTTGTTCGACGCCGTCGTCCATGCGCGGACCTTCGCGCGCGACCTCCGGGGCCGCAAGACGAAATCGCCCCGCGCCGTCGCCGCCTACGTCGACGCCCGCGCGGCGGCGACGTCCGCGCTCGCGTCCGCCGCGCTCTCCGCGCTCGGGGCCCGGACCGCGCTGCTCCTCGCCGACGACGCGACGCTCGTAGAGAGGCTCCGGCGCGACCTCGGGCGCACCTACGACGTCGCGTCCTTCGACGCGGGCCTCGCGCGCGCGCACTCGGGCCGCGACCGCGGCGCCGCGCTCGCCGACGGCGCGCTGCTGACCTACGTCGAGTGGTGGGCCGCCGCGTGCGCCTCCGCGGCCCTGGGCGTCACGTGGCTCTCCGACGCCCGGGGCCAGGGCTTCCGCAAGCTCAACGCCAACGGCGCCGAGGTGAGCTCGTTCCTCTCGTCCGCGCGCGCCGGCGCGCCGGAGAACGGCACGTACTACGCGTCGCTGCTCCCGGACGGGTCCGCGGTCCTCGGCCGGCCCTGGGACGCGCCCAGCGCCGCGCGGCCCGCGTCCGGGGCGCCCGTGCCCGCGCTCGCCTGGCGGTTGTAACGCGACGCGCGCGCCTACTTCGTCGGCTTGAGGAAGTTGGCGACGTCCCCGAGCGCGTCGCCGAACGCCGCGCCCTTGGCGTCGTCGTTCACCGCGATGAGCGTCTCGACGGAG